CTGCTCCTCCCTTGTCCTTCCTCTTCTTTCTTCATCTTTTCTTCTTCATCTTCTTCTCCATCGTTCTTCATCTTCTTCTTTCATCTTTCTTCATTCTTCTTCTTCTTCATTCTTCATCTTCAATCTTCATCTTTTCATCTTCATTCTTCATCTTCATCTTTCAATCTTCATTCTTTCATCTTCATTCTTCATCTTTCATCTTCATTCTTTCATCTTCATCTTTCCCATCTTTCATTTCTTTCTCTTCATCTTTCATCTTTCATCTTCAATCTTCATCTTTCAATCTTCATTTCTTGCCATTTTTCATCTTCAATCTTCATCTTCATCTTCAATTCTTCATCTTCATCTTCATTCTTTCCTTCTTTTTTCATTTCTTCATCTTTATTCTTTTTCATCTCAATTTCATTCATCTTTCATCTTCATCGTTCATCTTCATTCCTTCATCTTCCATCTTTTCCATTTCTTCCATTTCTTTTCATCTTTTTTCAATCTTCATTCTTTTCTTTATTTTCTTTTTCTTCATCTTCTTCATTCTTTCCTTCTTCCTTCTTTTCATCTTTCTTCATTCTCTTCATCCTTTGCTTTCATCTTCTTCATCTTCCTTCATCTTCTTCATCTTTTCTTCATCGTTCTTCATTCTTCTTTCATCTTACTTCAATCTCTCCGACTTCTAAGCATTCCTCCTTTTTAGGGGTCTACCTGGATCTCTTCTGACTTGAGGCCTATACTTAAACACCTGTTTTGGAATGTGAATCTCTTCCATTCTTTCCACATGTTGTAACCATTCCTGTCTGTAACATTGTACCTTGTCATCGATTGCTTGAGCGTTTAATTCTTTCCTCATTTCTGAGTTTATCTAGTCTGGTTCATTTTTTTACAAATCTCTAGAATTTCATTTCAGCAGACTGTAACGCCTGTTTATCTTTCCCCCTCACAGTCCAGCATTCACTTCCGAACAACAGAGACAGGATAGCCATTACTTTATATATCCTCATTAGAGTATCTCTCTGTTTTATCTTTACGAATTCGTCAAATACTTTGGCATATATTCTGGTATTTATGATTTTTTTCATTTTTATCCATTTCTGTGAGGAACATGTTGTAGCCCAAATATTTAAAATGGCTAATTTGTTCCATCATTGTATTTTCCAAAATTATTTTGGTGCGTATAGGATGCTTTCCCACAAATGCCATTGTTTTAGTCTTCGTTTTTGACATCTTTAGATTATATTCTTTGCAAGTTTGGTTTAATTGATGGATAGACCTCTGTAAGTCACCCTGACTTTCTTGGATTATAATTTCATCATCAGCAAATAGGAGTGTATTTAAGTACCCTCCATTTCTAAGTTTAATTCCTAGGTTGATTTTGTTCTTCCATTCTTGAATGATGTCATCCAAGTATATGTTAAACAATGTTGGGGAAAGGCTGCATCATTGGCAAACTCCTTGGTTTGTTTTGAATATTTTTCTTCTAGTTCTAAACTAACAGAGGTATTCTGATACAGAGATTTAATGTTATTGATTAAGTGGTGTGCGTAGCCTCTTCTTTCCATAATTTCCCATAAAGTGTAGCGTTTCAATTTATCGAAAGCCTTTTTATAATCAACGAAAGCCATTTGGCTTCTAAATTAAATTCCCTTCACTTTTCTATTAGTTGTCGGATGGTAAAAATATTATCTGTACAGGAGCGTCCTTTTTTGAAACCATTTTGTTGTTCTATAATTAAAATTTAATTGATATTAACAAGTTTTTATTTAAATTATTTTTCATATATTTTATAGTATTATTTTATAGCATGTGGACAGTAAGACTCTTCAGGAGCATTTACACCAAATACAATAAGATACTCTCTTTCTATTTTTAATCATACGATCAATATTCTATCATTAATATAAGTATAACTTTCGAATTTGTT